AACCTTGTGCTGGTGACTGTGTTTGGTGCCTTCACCCCGCAGCAGCGTTTGCTTGTGTTGAAGCCGTACTGCGAGCGCTGGAGTGTTCGCTTGCCGCCGAGGACCTCGTCTGTGTCCGATGACGAATACTGTCGTTTGCTGTTATCACGTCTCTCGCTGAAGCTGGAGAAGGTAATGCAGCGCATGGGCTTCACTCAGGATGCTCGTGAGACATTTTCGATTGCGTCGACAGGGAGTACTTTGAATGTGCTTTCCGCTGTGCACGGCTTGTCATCTTGTGGGGATGACCAGGAAGCGGTCTTATTTTGCCGTGCCTTCGGGACGCACCTGGAGTTGGGCTCCGTTGAGGGCGGTGGGAATGATTTGGATGATGTGTCTGCTGTTGTGAATCTCTAGACGGACACTACTATCCTTCCTCCTGTTGGCGGGAGGGACAATCTGGCTGTACCTCTCTCTCTGTCCTTCCCTGAGACCGCTGTGGGCGCCGAGCATGGTTACTATCTAGTGCTGTTTGCCATGGACCAGCTGTGCTTTGTGGAGCCCGTGGGTAGTATTGCTGAAGGAGGTTTTGCTGTCAATGTGCCCTTTGAAGAGGTTGCTTAAGAACCTACTCCGGAAGATTCTAAACCTAATTATTCTGTTTGCCCACTTGCAGGCCCTCCTTCACTGTGGAGCGAATGTATAAAATGGACTGTGGGTGCACACTCTTATTGGCGTCTGGTCTGCATACGGATCGGATACAAGGGACACGGAAGGTGCCCGTTACTCCTGCCTCCATTGCCACAGCCGTGTAGAAACGTGTACACGCCTATCGACGCCACACAAGGGGCGAGACGGCAAATTATCGTGCAACACGAAATGAGCTGTGAGGATGTCGCAGACTTTTCTGTGCGAGCTCTATTAAGATGCTTCGTAGGAGAGCTGTGAAGACGTACTGAAAGGCCTTTCAAAGTGCACGCCGTCCGAAGCTGGCCGTGCTTCTTTCATGCCAGTGAGGAAGTGTTTGGATGTGAGCTGGCACCCCACTGTACCGCACCTGCAGGAAGCACTTTGCCTCATGCAGAATTTAGCAAGCGGTGCTGCACTTCTGAACTCCCTGCGGGGAGCCGCAGCAGCTCCGATTGTTGTCGTCTTTTTTAGCGTTTTGACTTGCCGTCGAAATGGCTTGTGTGGGGAGGATGATTAGAATACCGGCCATTAACTTTATTGATTCCACTAAAAGATAATTAGTAAAACCCCGCACGTCATTGTGCACAATGTAGAAATGAGACAATTCAAAAGAAAAACATTTTCCGGGGAGGTCTCAAACGCACTGCGTGGTAATGTATCGAATGGCAGCGCGTGGACCTAATATACCCACTTATTTTCTATTAAATGGTATAACTTGAAGCAGCCAGGCTGGGATGGTGAAACACGTGTGTGTTGCTCATTTTCGCATTGTGGGTGTTCTCATCGTTCTTCCATACGCTTCTGTGCCTCCCTCCTCTCTCACCCATAGCCTAGGGACGGTGGCTCTTCCCGCACCCGCGTGTTGGTGTGCTGTGCAGGAGTGCGGCTTTGTGTGGCCCCGCCCAGCCGGCGGAGTGGAGCCGCTGCGTGTGCTGTTTTGCTTGTGGGCGTGCAGCGTCGGTTTGGACACGCATACTAACACACGCACACATACATTCACATTGGCCCGCTGTGTGTGTTGTTGAGGGGGGGGTGCGGTCTTCCTCTCCGTCACTTCCTTCCCGGGGCGTCGCGGCGAGGTGCCCCTGCGTGGGATGGACTACGCCGCCACCTCCGACGCAGTGCTGTTGTGCCCGCGCATGTGTGCCGTGCGCTGTCCTCTTTGCTGTGGTGGGTGCCGCATGTGTGGGTGTGGGGGTCGAGGCGTAGCCGCCGTAAGCTGCAGCGGACGAGGTGTTTGCACTGTGCCGATGCCAATGTGGTGACTAGGGACAGTGTCTTGTTCAGTGCCTGTGCGTAGTGCTGTCTATCTATTGCTGTTGGGTGTGTGCGTGTATTTTTAAGACACATACCGCTTCCGTATTCAATAAATTGTCGTTGTTTGATGTGCTAGTTTTTCGTGTTGCTTATGAGTGTTCTCCTACGCACTATTGAAGGCGACGCTTTGTTTTTGTTGTTGTTTTCGCGCCGTGTGCCACTTCACACTTCAGCAAATGAAACAATGTTTCTTCTGATGTGGCGTGCTATGGTGCTGTGTTTGAACCGACGGCCAGTGATGCTGCTGGGTTTGCCCTGCTGGTTGTTTATGGCACTCTTGCTACTAATGGTAATTTTTTTAGCTGTTTTTGGGTCATGCATTTTTTCCTTTGTTGTGCTTTTATTGTATTGGGCTTCAGGAGACTTGTAAAATAGCCTCTTCTGGGCTGCGCGATAATGGCGCGAGGACCGGCAACACACGTACAAGAAGGGCCTTGTATTCACGTGACGCGTAACACGCCAGGACGGTACGTTGGGCTTAGGTTGTTGGCGTACTATGTGTTCGCCGTACCTTTGTGCCTTGCCTTGCTGTGTACTGCATCGCGTGCGGCCGTGAGATCTCCAGAGTGCCCACCACCTACACTGAAAGTACTCAAGCTGAATCTTCCTCTTCCCGTTTCTATGAGCTTTCCAGCAGCAGTGACTGCCGGATTCCGTTCTTCGCTGTGGTCACGTCGTTCACGAGGGGGCACCGCTGTACAGATTCAGGTGGTTGAGAAGGATACATCAGTTGATGCATATGCGGATACATTTGACACCGCAATGGCTGCCCACAGCGATATTTTTGCGGTAGTCAGTCATTTCGGTGATGGATACTTACAGAAAGCCTTGCCTTCTCTAGAAAAGCATAACGTGGTATCTTTTGCCCCGTTCACCGGTTCACATCGGGCACGCGGGTGGAACCGCTTCTTGTATTTTGTGCGCGGCGAGCCTGCAGCGGAGCTCCTGGCGCTTATCCGCTACACAGTTAATTTTCTTCGTGTGAGGCGGCTAGGTTTCATGTATCTCAAAGGTGTGTCCTTTGGTGACGATGAATACGCACAGACCACACGGGTTATCCGGATGATGGGCTACACGCTATGTGGCGTGTTTACTCTAAACAGTTCTCTGAAGACTCCAAATGAAGACGCTACTTTTGACGCTGCCTGGGAACCATTTGTGACCACACGCCCGCAGGCTGTGCTTGTGTTTGGTTCCCCCATAAAAGACACCGAGACCTTCATTACGCGAATGCTGACGGACAAACGCACCGCTAGTGTCTACATCCTGGCTCCCTCATTGCTACAAAATATGATTATATCCAAATGGCGTGAAGCTGAAACAAGTGGCGCCCCCTTTATTCCAGGTCAGGTCATTACGACAGGTACGAACCCACTTGCGAAGGACACACGATACGAGGCCATCAAACGCTTCCAGAGTGTGATGCAGGAATACCTTAAAAACAACGAGAATAAGGGTTACAATACCACCGAGCACTTTCTGGAGGACGATACCGACGGTGAAATGATGGTTGCTGGTTGGATTGCCGGTGAGGTGCTATCGCAGGCGACGGACAACCCTGAATGCGCAAGGACCAAAACAGCGTTTTCGAGATGCCTCTTCACCCAACGCCGGTATTTGATCGATGATCTTGTTATCGGTGACTACGGTGATGAGTGCAGTGCTATTGCTGAGTCGCAGGGTGCTATCTGCCGCTGCAATCAGGGTGGGCGGACGGTCTACATGAAGCGTCTTGTGAAGGGGTTCCGCGCTGAGGTGATAAAAGAAGGGACACTTACATTAAAATCAAGTGAGTGCCAGGCATACAAACTTAATCTATTGCCTCCGCTGTGTGTAAGTACTCTAATGTTGGAGGACAGTCCTGTTGCGCTACGTGCAGCTCGATGCATGAGAACGGTATTGAATGAAAATTTGATCTTTGACGACTCCAGTGGTGGCGACGTATTCTTTTCAATTAAGGCACTTCGCTCAACGCAGGATACTGCACGCGATGCATTATTGAAGGAAATCGAGAAACGATACATTCACGTTGTTGGTGGTGTCACTACGGAGTCTCTACTTGAATTCCAGAATGTGACGTTCATTGATCCGTTGCTTCTTGAACCACGGCTGAACACTTTTCGCCGGCACGTTATCCGCCTGTCCCCGACGCTGGAGCAGGATTTCTTTGTGCTTGCGCAGTACCTTGGCAGCACGAC